GTGTCCAATTCCCAATTTGTCCAATTCCCACATTGTCCAATTCCCAATTTGTCCAATTCCCACATTGTCCAATTCCCACATTGTCCAATTCCCACATTGTCCAATTCCCACATTGTCCGACTCCTACATTGTCCAATTCCCACATTCCCCAATTCCCACATCCCCAAATTCTCACGTCTTTCAATTCCCAAACCCCCAAATTTCCACATCCCCATATCTCTAAAGCCCCCAATAATTAAACCCCCAAATTCCTAAACACTCCCCAAAAATTTGCAGTCTCCCCAATTTAAACCCACTCCAAATACCTTACAAAAAATTTGAAACCCCACCATAAAATCAAAAACAAAAATTGCAGCCCACAAAATAACCTCCTAAAATGATAACCAACATAACCTCGTCATTAACTGCACTTTCCCTTGCGCATCACATTTAACTATTCCTGATTTGTCCACAAGGCTAGAACCGTAAAATGCAATAAGGAGAAGATGAAATAAAGGAATCGAAGGAAGGAGAAAAGGATTAGTATTGACAGAAATGTAAGGTGAACGGCTTGGAAGGAAAAGGGTAGTGCATAGGGGCGGTCGTGTTAAGAGGAGAAGTGCAAAGAGAAGGGATGAAACAGACGGATGGACAGTCTGGCAGACGGACGGTGGATCCCCGACAAATGGATTAAGCGCAAATTGCTAAACTCTGTTTAATTTGGCCAAATGAATTTTGTTCCGCCAGCCCTCTTCCCTTCTCCCTTGCCTCTTTCGCTCTCTATCTTTCTCTGTTCTGACTGCGCGCAAGCTCGTCTCCAACTTTCAGTACGAAAGCTTGTTTCCTTGTTCGATGCGCGTTGGGATTTTCGAAAATCACTGTACTCTATTTTCTCTCGTTTTTATATATTTTATGTATTATATATTCTGTATTTATTTTCTATAGTGTTTCATTGGTACATCTGTTACTTTTTTTCATTCTATTCTCTTTTCTTATATTTTCTAATGGTATGAATCTAAATGTATGATTAGTGAGACGTATGGATGTCGACTCATGCGTTGGCACAGGAGCTATGACGCACTCATGACGCACTCAAATATTGTAAATTTTTCTTGGATTTTTGGTACGCGTGAATTTTCAATTTGGGTGTAATAATTTAAGGACGTTCCACGAGTTGGCGCGTCAGCTATGACGCACTCGCGACGCACTCATGACACACTTGTGACGCACTCGCAGTTCAAGTATTGTACATTTTTCTCATATTTTTGGCACGCGTGAATTTTCCATTTAGGCGTACTCGTGACGCACTCGTGACGCACTCGCAGTTCAAGTATCGTCAATTTTTCTCACATTTTTGGTACGCGAGAATTTTCAATTTGGGTGGAATAATTTACGTACGGATGTCCCGCGAGTTGGCGCGTCAGCTATGACGCACTCGTGACGCACTCATGACACACTTGTGACGCACTCGCAGTTCAAGTATTGTACATTTTTCTCATATTTTTGGCACGCGTGAATTTTCCATTTAGGCGTACTCGTGACGCACTCGTGACGCACTCGCAGTTCAAGTATCGTCAATTTTTCTCACATTTTTGGTACGCGAGAATTTTCAATTTGGGTGGAATAATTTACGTACGGATGTCCCGCGAGTTGGCGCGTCAGCTATGACGCACTCGTGACGCACTCGCGGTTCAAATGTAAATTTGGGATTTGGGAATCTGAAAATTGAGATGTTGGGGGATTTAGAAATTTTTGAATGTGGAAGTTTGGAAATTTGAGATTTGGGGAGATTGGAAATTGGAGATGTGGAAATTTAGAAAATTGAGAATTAGAATTTTATATTTTCTAAACTTCCTATGTTCGATCAATGAAATGTACAGATGTCAACTCAGGAGTTGGCGCGTCAGCTATGACGCACTCGCGACACACTCTTGGTGTATTCATGATGCACCTGTGACGCACTCTTGACGTACTTGTGCCGCACTCATGATTCACCCTTGATACAATCATGACGCACTTGTGACGCACTCACGACACACTCGTACTTCAAGTACTTTAAATTTCTCTCATACTTTTGGTCCATTTTTCTATTCTGACCAAAGTAACTCTTCTAAACATGCCTCTTCGCGCCGCCTCATGGGTTGACATCAGTATGTTTTCCGTCTAACCTTGTTTTAACTAATGATTACTATAACGTTTACTAATGATTACTATAATGATTATGAACGAGATTTAAAATCGAAGATGTTTGACAAACGATCATTCAATTTTCTAATCGACTTTGAAAATGGAAATTAATTAGTTGCACTTTTGTTTTAAAGATGTAGATCGATGGATATAATCAAACTACGAGTATTATCCCATATTCCAACAAACCGTTTGTGCTATTGGAAATTAGTAGGTGTCGACCTTCGAAGTACGTGACTAAATCATACCGACGGAGATTATGTGTTTCGTTTAGAATATCCCATCAGGGATTCTAACCGCTTTGTTCATGGTATGCTGTCCGCGTATAATATATTTGGAAACGAGAGGACTCATTTGTCCGAGGAGAGAAAACGTTCATGACGATGTTGACGGTGCGATTAAATTGCAACGTGACTACGATTATCTTGCGGCGCAGGAAATTGCAGCTTCCGAACTGAAATTCAACTTAATTCAAATAAAAATGTTTGCAATGAATTGTTGCATGTTTTATTTTGTCCCGTGAAAAACTTGAAAAATTACTTCCTTGTAACTGTATCAAAATAGTTTAAAATTCGATGAAAATCTTTGCAAAGAAACAGTTTGTTCGATGGAAACAAGTTTTTAGCAGGATTATGTAATACAAAATAACTGTTTACAAAGATGTTAGGTACAGCAGACAGTAATTTATGTAACAAAACAAGGAGAATCAATTCTGACATCATCCTGAAGTGTTTATACATAATTAATACGTCGTCTAGATTCAAGAAAGCAGGTTTGCCAGTAGTTGCGTGGAGTATCAATTACATTGTCTCTACTCTGAGACGCAAAATATAATTGAAGCGCACAAATAATATCTGACATCTTATCTTTCCGCATTGTTTGCACTCGAGTTCGTGATAATAAAGTCTGTCGGTAATTTGTGTTTGCAAACTATTCAACTTGTCGACTGAAAATTAATGAATTCGTAGCACGAAAATACAAATTTCTTTCGTCTTCCTTATGATCTCTAAGAATCGATATGAAACGAGTGTTGTACTTTTTATGCATCTGACTGTCGTCGCGATAATTACAGATTTGCAAATGGTAGTTGAAGCGATGAAGAGAAGGCAGACGGGAGGTTAACCTTCCTCGTACAATCGGGTCATTATGCCATCACGTTTATTTCCCAGAAATGACGCAAGTCCGCGATTTTGATGTCGCAATACGAGTTTTATATTTTTATACCATGTGATCGATATTACCCCGTAATTTTCATCGAATTTTAAAATTAATTTCCATTATACCACAGGATATTTATACAAAAGAAAATGTTGAAACTTTCATGGAAGATTGGGAATAATATTAAATTTCCAGGCAACTGTTAGGTGATTCAGTCAGAAACAATTTTTCTGTCAAACTTGTTTAATTGTCAGAAGCTTATATTATCACAAGGCTTTTTACTGCGAATTGCAAATTAAACGTAAATCGTTCGAGATGCTCGAGTTATCGCGCGGAAATGCAAGTTTCCGGCTTATTCATTACTATCCAAATAAGCCTGCACAGCAACAAAACGAATCAGATACTAAATATTAGTAAGAAAGTTTGCAAACACGTGGTAGCGCGATTTTATGCAAATATTTTAATTAGACTCACCATGCGCCAAGTTCGAATGCCAGCAGTTTAAGTAAATATCTCCGGAAACTACATAGGCCGTAATCCACAGAAATTTGAGTTTGCGCGTGAGCTTACTGCGAAATTCGTGTAAATTCTATTATATGTGAAATAAGTTTGAAACTGTGCCGCGTGAATCTTAATTCCGCAATTCCTCGTCACGTAACACCGCGAAACTTCATTTTACAATTGCGACCGCTTCATTAATTTATTTCTGAGGGAAACGAGTGATTTTCAAGTTACACTTTTTCATTTCAAAGTGAAAGTACTATGTCAGGGTTTATTTTATTCGTAATTTTAAGTGGTTATAAAATATTTTAGAGTATTAATTTTCGATGCTAAATTTAATTTAAAATTAGAATTGTTATTTTACGAGTGCTATTCATAGTGAATGTTATTAGTTTGCAAATAACAGTAATAGAAATATATTAATAAAATTGCAGACATAGCAGTTGCATAAGAAGGTTAGACGTTTCAATTAAACTCCTCAGTATTGCAACTTTATCATGGTGATACAGGTCACTGATGTCAGGGTAGCTGTACGGAATAATTAAGCAACAATTAATTAAGATATACAATGTCAAAACAGATAACTTCCGCAATAGGGCGTTCTTCAGAAAATAAATCAGTTAATCGATTAAAGTACCTTTAAACAATTTTTATATACCTTGACATAAATTGCTATTAATAGTAATACAATCTTCATGAAACTTAAATTTAACTTCAAAATTACATAGTCTCACTATATGGTCCTCTATAAAAACCACGTAACTCATAATTTCTACTGTTTGCAATTATTTCTATCAAACGAAATATTCCTTGCTCAAATAAAATATTCATTTTAATCTACCTCTAAAATCACACTCTTGCTATATGGCCCTAAATATTTACCAGGTAACTAATAACGTAACAACGCATAATTGAAACAAAAAATGAGCCAACAACTATTATTTATTAACAAAGACTTAATCAAATACATTTTTAAAAGCTTTAGCATACAATTTGCGATCACAAAACTGAACATAAAAATTCAGATCTCAAAAATATGCACTAACAGCACTATTCCCCTACTTGACCTCAATTCCCTTATACCTAGAATGAACCTCCACCCAGTACGGTTTGGCAGCGATCGGCAGCACCTGTCCCGGCGAAAATCTAATCGGCAACACAGTTTTCAAGCAAGTTTTCAGTTCGCAAACCGCCAGAACGTGAAATACTATGATCTTCAACAACAAAACCGATAGCCTATTTCCCATGCACATCCGTGGACCTATCCCGAAGGCCAGCGACGTCCTGGAGCTCGAGTTCTGATTACAAAACCTCTCCGGATTGAACCTGTTGGGCTCCGGGTAGAGATCAGGATCCCGACACAGCGCGAGGATCGGTATAAAAACGTTGAAGCCCTCTTCAAGAATGATCGGTTTCGCGTTAGGTAGTGCTGGAGGTAGCTCGATAGGTTTGGTGCATTTTCTATCGACCATCGGCAGAGGAGGATACATCCTGAGACCTTCGTTCACAACTGCGTCCAAGTACTTCATTTCGCCTAGCGCCTCCAGACTGACATCACCGTTGTCAGAATTCTTCAGTACCTGATCGATCTCTTCGTGCAGTCGTTTCTGGATGTCCGGATTCGCGGCGGTTTCCAGGAGGATTGCGGCCATCACCAGCGCCGTGGATGCCGAATTCGCAGAAAAGAAGAACACCAAGTTCGCTAGCATATCCGCCTCCGACATTCTCTTCTCTGGCGCATTCGCTCTGGTGTTCAGCATGTACTGCAACATGTCCGCACGAGTGGTACCCGTCTGATCCCTCATGTCCCTCACCGACCTTACCACGTCCCTGAACATATTCTCCGTCGTATTACTCATAACCTTGATGCCTACCAATCTACAAAAGTTGGGGAAGTTCCTTGTCAATATAATCTTGATGTCTGTTAATCTCTCGAAGGCGGTGAGCTTAGTCCCCTTCACGAAGAACTCGTTCTTGGGATCCACTACGGAGTCCACATCCAGGCCGAACGCGGCGAAGGCCGACGTATCGCAGGTATGTCTGCTGATGAAGTCCCAGAGATCGACGACATTCCCTGACGGCAACGCGGCCATGTGACCCGCGGATCGTTTGGCGATTTGTTGCAACTTCGGGAACAGTTCCCGGAGTTTCGAGACCGTCAGGAGGCTGCTCATGATCCTCCGCAGGTTCCTCCACTCGTCGCCCTTGAGATTTACCAGGCTGTCCTTCTTATAATTATCGATAATGACGAACGGATCATGATCCGTAAAATGATCAAAGTTCTTCACGGCTATCATCTTGATCAGATCCAAATCCCGCAGCAGCAGCGATGGCGTTAAAAAATCAAACATCCCCAAATATTTCGCTTCACGGTTCTCGTTGTATACCCGCTGAAAGTTTTCTCCCAGGGAACACTGGAACGTGAGGATCGGAAAAAACATCCCCAGAATCGGAAACGGTTTCGAATGCGGTATCCCTAGTCTCTCGAAGTACATGTACTTCTGATAGTAGAGGTAGATGAAGAACACTAACACCGCCGCGATTAGGATCCACATCTTGCCGAATTGACTGTCTCTGACCAAGTCTGACAAAGTACTGATTAGGGCGATGGATCTGCATTTCCTCAATAAATCAGTATCGATTTAAAAAGTATTAGACGCAATAAGTTTGTGACTTCAGATACCCTTTCGCCTTCGGTCAAATTATTGTTTTTAATTCTTATATTATTTATGATCGATTTAATCGTCCGCGTAATTAGGTACGTCTTATGAAGATTGATATATTCTTTTTCACTGTGTATCATTATGATGCATCTTAGAGACAACGCGTCTGGACTCACCTTAGAGGCGGTGCGCCATGACGGGCCTTAGAGACGATACTTCTTGAGGTACCTTAGAGACGATGCGTCATGACGCACCTTACAAGCCTCATTTTACAGAAAGTCTACCTGTGTCCAGACTTACATGGACATTGAAGTTAAAGTTGAAAAATGCATAAACAGATGATAAAACGTAAAATACACATTAATTCTTATCTTCATGCAGATGAACAGATTCCAAGTTGTCGTCAGAACTTTTGTAAGTGGAAATGAGCTTGACCTCTTTGATAGTTTTAGAGATGCTTTATGAAGATGGATGATTATGTAAAGCTTATGGTTCAGATATCTATGTGTTGTGTCTTATAATTGAAAGTACATCGACGTCCATATGTAGGTTCATGTGCACTTGAACTGTTCGATTGTAAAAGAGTGTAAATACTAGTACATCCACAATAAAAACTTACATTAGACGTTGAAAGTAAAGTAGAACCTCGTAGAATATTAATTGAATAATGGAAATAATAATTAACGATTTTCGGAATGAGTAGATGGATTATCAATGAACCGTGCGAGTGTTTGACCACCCACGTATGAAATTGGACCGGTCAACTGTCTAAGCCAAGTCACGAGACCTCTGACTCTCAAAATTACGACTGCGTAGAACATGCAAAAACAGTATCTCAACAACAGTATTTACACCACTGCAAAACAGACTCTGCTGTTACCAAAACAACGAAAGGAGGAGAGAATCATTGAGGTTGATTAGATTATTCGTCAAACGTCACCGAGTAAAGAACAAAGCGCGCAATACGCTCCGCACCGCTCTATCTGTGCGCCGGTTTGTTAAACTCACACGCAGCAGTGTGTCACAACCAGCAGTTGCGTCGACAGCGTACAGCAAGCAGCGTCTATAAATACGTCGGTCTTTAAGAAGTCGTTTTCCAGATATTAACGCGAGTGAAAATAATTAAAGATGTGGACAATAATCGCGGGGGTGCTCGTCGTGCTCCTGACATGCTACTACTACTTGAAGGACTATGACTACTTCGAGAAGCGAGGGATACCTTATTCAAAACCCACTCCCTTTTTGGGAAGCATGTGGCGTACGTTACTGATGCGAATGACCTTCGCAGAGGCGGTTCGCAAAATGTACAATGAAAACCGCGAAGCGAAGTACCTCGGCTTCTTCGAGTTCATGACCCCTGTGGTGATGATCCGTGACCTAGAACTGATCAGAGCCGTGACCATCAAGAACTTCGAGGCCTTCCCCGACCACAGATCCTTCGCCGACGACGAGATCGACCCCATGTTCAGCAGGAACCTATTCAACCTGCGCGGAGACCGATGGAAGGACGTTCGAACGACCTTGAGCCCTGCGTTCACCTCCAGCAAGATGAAGGCCATGTTCGTCCTCATGAAAGAGTGCGCCAAACGGTACGGGGAGAACCTAGCCTCCCTACCGGCCGATAAGAACACCATAGAGCTGAAGGATGCCTTCACCAGGTACACCAACGACGTCATCGCCACGTGCGCTTTCGGAATCAACGTGGACTCCATGACGGATCGCACGAACAAGTTCTACGTCTACGGTCGTGAAAGTACCAGCTTCGGAAGGTGGCAGTCCTTCAAATTCTTCCTGATTCGCTGCTTCCCTAAACTGTGCAGCACGCTGAACATAAAGATCGTGAAGACGGAGATCGCGGACTTTTTCAAGGAGCTGGTCGCGGAGACTATTAAAACTAGGGACGAGAAGGGCATCGTGCGACCCGACATGATTCAGCTGATGATGGAGACCAGAGGCAAGTTGGGACCCGGCAAGGAGCTCACCATCGAGGATATGACTGCTCAAGCATTCATCTTCTTCTTCGGAGGCTTTGAGAGCACATCGACCCTCATGTGCTTCGCGGCCTACGAGGTGGGAGTCAACGACGAGGTCCAGAAGAGGTTACAAGATGAAATCGACGAAGTTCTAAATAATGCTAATGGAGATGTCACCTACGAGGCGATAAATAACATGAAGTATCTGGACGCTATCATCAACGAGGCCCTCAGGATGTACCCGGTCGTGGTGGGCACAGATAGAATCTGCGCAAAGAACTATGAACTACCGCCAGCGCTGCCTGGTGCTAAACCACACGTGGTGCAGAAGGGGCAGTACGTTTGGATACCGATTTACGGAGTGCAACACGATCCCGAATACTTCCCTGAACCGGAGAAGTTCAATCCGGAGCGGTTCTATGATGACCCTAAACAGATACTCAACTCTGGATCGTTTTTGAGCTTTGGACTGGGACCACGGATGTGTATTGGTAATAGGTTCGCGCTTTTGGAGGCTAAGACCTTGCTCTTCTACATTTTTGCTAACTGCACTTTGAAGCCTTGCTCGAAGACCGTCATACCGATGAAGCTGAGCAAGAAGGGATTCGCCATGACGGCAGAAGGTGGATTCTGGTTCACCATCGAACAGAGGAAGAAGGCGGAACGTGTGTATGTTAACACTGGTTCATCAGCACAACGTGTATGATTGACATATATTTGGAGATTGCGTTTGAAGATAAGTCTGATTATGAATAGAATATGAAATTTAGGAAATGGCAGTGTCTGCGATAAATAACGTGATATTTGAAGATTTTTCAGTTTGTAATACCATTTTTATCTTGAGCATTTTTTTATGTTAATTTCACTCTTTTTTCTGTGTAAGATCTTTCATGCTAATTTTGTATTGCCAGGTGTTTGTAATTTTGTATATTTGGAATGGTAGAATAAATTCGTCTGAATTTATAAAATAGCGGCTTAACTGCAAATAAACAAGTGTTGCGCAGTTATAGTGATTGCCACGGGCAATTTGTTCTAATGAAGGTCAATGTTAGGTTAGACTTCGAGCTATTACAGCAATAGTCTAGAATTCTTTTCAACGGGCAACGATGCGAAATTTTAATCGTGTGAACAGCTCAGTGAATGGCGCCCAAAAACAGGTGTAATTGAGTGAAGTATTAATTAGAGCGCAATTCGAAAATTTTGTTATGCTTCGTTTGGTGAAGTTTGGTGTGTGATTTCTTTCGCTTTGTACTTGTTTAACACGTCGTTAGCATCAAATAAAAATGTTTGCAATGAATTTTTGCATGTTTTTTGTCCTCTTGAAAAATTTCTTCCTTGTAACTGTATTGTACTAAAATATTTTTAAATTCGTTGAAAATTGTCTAACACCGTGAAACTTTATTTTACAATTGTGACCGCTTCATTGATTTCTTTCAGAGGGAAACGGGTGATTTTCAAGTTACACTTTTTCATTTCAAAGTGAAAGTACTATGTCAAGGTTTATGCTATTTCTAATTTGAAGTGGTTATAAAACATTTTAGAGTATTAATTTTCAATGTTAAATTTAATTCGAAATTAGACTTATTTTGCACGTGTTATTCATAGTGAAGGTTATTAGTTTGCAAATAAGAATAATAGAAGTATAATAAAATTGTAGACATAGCAGATGCATAAGAAGGTTACACGTTTCGATCAAACTGCGCAGTATTGCAACTTTATCATGATGATACAGGTCACTGATGTCAGGGTAGCTGTACGGAATAAATAAGCAACATTTAAGTATGTTATATAATATTAAAACAGATCACTTCCGCAATACTTCATTCTTCAGAAAATAAATCAGTTAATCGATTAAAATACCTTTAAACAATTTTTATATACCTTGACATAAATTGCTATTAATAGTAATACAATCTTCATGAAACGTAAGTTTAACTTTAAAATTACATAGTCTCACTATATGGTCCTCTATAAAAACCACGTAACTCATCATTTCTACTGTTTGCAATTATTTCTATCAAACGAAATATTCCTTGCTCAAATAAAATATTCATTTTAATCTACCTCTAAAATCACACTCTCGCTATATGGCCCTACATATTAACCAGGTAAATAATAACGTAACAACGCATAATTGAAACAAAAAATGAGCTAACAACAATTATTTATTAAGAAAGATATAATGAAATACATTTTTAAAAACTTTAGCATATAACTTGCGATCACAAAACCGAACATAAAAATTCATATCTCAAGAATTTGCACTAACAGCACCATTCCCCTGCTTGACCTCAATTCCCTTATTCCTAGGATGAACCTCCACCCAGTACGATTTGGCAGATATCGGCAGCACCTGTCCCGGCGAAAATCTAATCGGCAACACAGTTTTCGCGCACGTTTTCAGTTCGCAAACCGCCAGAACGTGAAATACTATGATCTTCAATAACAAAACCGACAGCCTATTTCCCATGCACATCCGTGGACCCATCCCGAAAGCCAGCGCTGTCCTGGGGCTCGAGTTCTGATTATAAAACCTCTCCGGGTTGAACCTGTTGGGCTCCGGGTAGAGATCAGGATCGCGACACAGCGCGAGGATCGGTATAAAAACGTTGAAGCCCTCTTCAAGAATGATCGGTTTCGCGTTAGGTAGTGCTGGAGGTAGCTCGATAGGTTTGGTGCATTTTCTATCGACCATCGGCAGAGGAGGATACATCCTGAGACCTTCGTTCACAACTGCGTCCAAGTACTTCATTTCGCCTAGCGCCTCCAGACTGACATCACCGTTGTCAGAATTCTTCAGTACCTGATCGATCTCTTCCTGCAGTCGTTTCTGGATGTCCGGATTCGCGGCGGTTTCCAGGAGGATTGCGGCCATCACCAGCGCCGTGGATGCCGAATTCGCAGAAAAGAAGAACACCAAGTTCGCTAGCATATCCGCCTCCGACATTCTCTTCTCTGGCGCATTCGCTCTGGTGTTCAGCATGTACTGCAACATGTCCGCACGAGTGGTACCCGTCTGATCCCTCATGTCCCTCACCGACCTCACCACGTCTCTGAACATATTCTCCGTCGCTTTATTCATAAGCTTGATGCCTACCAATCTACAAAAGTTGGGGAAGTTCCTTGTCAATATAATCTTGATATCTGTTAATCTCTCGAAGGCGGTGAGCTTAGTCGCTTTCACGAAGAACTCGTTCTTGCGATCCACTATGGAGTCCACATCTAGTCCGAACATGGCGAAGGCCGACGTATCGCAGGTATATCTGCTGACGAAATCCCAGAGATCCTCGACACTCCCTGACGGCAACGCGGCCATATGACCCGCGGTTCGTTTGGCGACATGTTGCAACTTCGGGAACAGTTCCCGGAGTTTCGAGGCCGTGAGGAAGCTGCTCGCGACCCTCCGCAGGTTTTTCCACTCGTCGCCCTTAAGATTCAACAGGTGGTCCTTCCTGTAATTGTCGATGACGATGAACTCGTCATGATCCGTGAAATGATCGAAGTTCTTCACGGCTATCATCTTGATCAGATCCAGATCTCGAAGCAGCAGCGATGGCGTTAAAAAATCAAACATCCCCAAATATTTCGCTTCACGGTTCTCGTTGTATATCCGCTGAAAGGCTTCTCCCAGGGAACACTGCAACGTCAGGATCGGAAAAAAGATCCCCAGAATCGGAAACGGTTTCGAATACGGTATCCCTAGTCTCTCGAAGTACATGTACTTCTGATGGTAGAAGTACACGAAGAACACTAACACCGCCGCGATTAGGATCCACATCTTGCCGAATTGACTGTCTCTGACCAAGTCTGATGAAGTACTGGTTATGGCGATCTGCGTTTCCTCCATTAATCAGTATCGATTAAAAGAGCATTAGACGCAATAAGTTTGTGACTGCAGATACCCTCTCATCTTCGGTCAAATTACTGTTGTTATTTGTTGTATCTTTTGTGATCGATTTAGTCGTCCTTGTAATTAGATATGCCTTATAAAGGCATATATTCTTTTACACTGTGCATCATTATAATGCACCTTAGGGCAGTACCTCTGGACTCACTTTCGAGATGGTGCGTCATGACACCTTAGAGACAATACTTTTTGAGGTACTTTAAAGACGATGCGTCACGATGACGCACCTTAGAGCCTATGCGTCATGACACACCTTACAGTCCTCATTTTACAGAAAGCCTACCAGTGTCCAGACTTACATGGACATTGAAGTTAAAGTTGAAAAATACATAAACAGATGATAAAACATGAAATACACTTCAAACATGAAATGAAATGATAATTGTGCAATAATTGTATACATTAATTCTTATCTTCATGCAGATGAACGGATTCCAAGGAAATTTCCTTCAAAAATTTTTTCGCTTGAAATGAACTTGTGAAACTTGACCTATTTCATACTTCTAGAGATACTTTATGAAGATCGATGCTTATGTAAAGCTTGTGGTTCAGATATCTATTTGTTATATTTTATAATTGAAAGCACATCAATATGTATATCCAGTACGTTCAGTGCTGATAAGTTCATGTGCACTTGAACCGCCTGTTCGATTGTAGAAGAGTTTATTGGTGCATCCACTAATCTGTACATCCACTTTTGTTTGGAATAGACACCAACTATGTAGTTGCGTAAGTATGACCTTACATTAGACGTTCAAAGTAAAGTAGAACCTCGTAAAATATTAATTGAATGAAGATATTAATTAACGATTTTCAGAATGAGTTGATCGATTATCAATGACTCGTACGAGCGTTTGACCATCCACGCATGAAATTGGACCGATCTATTGCCTAAGCCAATCACGAGACCTCTGACTCTCAAAATTAGGACTGTGTAGAACGTGCAAAAAACAGTATCTCAACAACAGTATCTGCGCCACTACAAAGTAGACTCTGCTGTTATCAAAGCAACGAAAGGAGGGGAGAATCATGCAGGTTGATTAGATTATTCATCAAACGTCACCGAGTAAAGAACAAAGCGCGCAATACGCTCCGCACCGCTCTATCTATGCGCCGTTTTGTTAAAAACTCACACGGAGCACTGTGCCACAACCAGTTGCGTCGCCGACGTACGGGAAGCAGCATCTATAAATACGTCGGCCTTTAGAAAGTCGTTTTCCAGATATTAACGCGAGTGAAAATAATTAAAGATGTGGACAATAATCGCGGGGGTGCTTGTCGTGCTCCTGACATGCTACTACTACCTGAAGGACTACGACTTCTTCGAGAAACGGGGAGTACCTCACTCAAAACCCATTCCCTTCTTGGGAAGCTTGTGGAATGCGATACTGATGCGAACGACCTTCGCAGAGGCGGTCCGCAAACTGTACAATGAAAACCGCGAAGCAAAGTACATCGGCTTCTTCGACTTCATGACCCCTGTGGTGATGATCCGTGATCTAGAACTAATCAGAGCAGTGACCATCAAGAACTTCGAGACCTTCCCCGACCACAGAACCTTCACCGACGACGAGATCGATCCCCTGTTCAGTAGGAACCTGTTCAACCTGCGCGGAGATCGATGGAAGGACGTCCGAACGACCTTGAGCCCTGCGTTCACCTCCAGCAAGATGAAGGCCATGTTCGTCCTCATGAAAGAGTGCGCCAAACGGTACGGGGAGAACCTAGCCTCCCTACCGTCCGATAAGAACACCATAGAGTTGAAGGACGCCTTCACCAGGTACACCAACGACGTAATCGCCACGTGCGCTTTTGGAATCAACGTAGACTCCATGACGAATCGTACGAACAAGTTCTACGTCTATGGTCGTGAAGGTACCAGCTTCGGAAGGTGGCAGTCCCTCAAGTTCTTCCTGATTCGCAGCTTCCCTAAACTGTGTAACGCGCTGAACGTCAAGATCGTGAAGACGGAGATCGCGGACTTTTTCAAGGAGCTGGTCGCGGAGACTATTAAAACTAGGGACGAGAAGGGCATCGTGCGACCCGACATGATTCAGCTGATGATGGAGACCAGAGGCAAGTTGGGACCCGGCAAGGAGCTCACCATCGAGGATATGACTGCTCAGGCGTTCATCTTCTTCTTCGGAGGCTTTGAGAGCACCTCGACCCTCATGTGCTTCGCGGCCTACGAGGTGGGAGTCAACAAGGAAGTCCAGAAGAGGCTACAAGATGAAATCGACGAAGTTCTGGATAATGCTAATGGAGAAGTCACCTACGAGGCGATAAATAACATGAAGTACCTCGATGCTGTTATCAACGAGGCTCTCAGGATGTATCCAGTCGTGGTGGCAACAGATAGAATCTGCATGAAGAACTACGAACTACCTCCAGCGCTGCCTGGTGCTAAACCATACGTGGTGCAGAAGGGGCAGTACGTTTGGATACCGATTTACGGAGTGCAACACGATCCCGAATACTTCCCTGAACCGGAGAAGTTCAATCCGGAGCGGTTCTATGATGACCCTAAACAGATACTCAACTCTGGATCGTTTTTGAGCTTTGGACTGGGACCACGGATGTGTATTGGTAATAGGTTCGCGCTTTTGGAGGCTAAGACCTTGCTCTTCTACATTTTTGCTAACTGCACTTTGAAGCCGTGCTCGAAGACCGTCATACCCATGAAGCTGAGCAAGAAGGGATTCGCCATGACAGCTGAAGGTGGATTCTGGTTCACCATCGAGCAGAGGAAGAAGGCGGAACGTGTGTATGTTAACACTGGTTCATCAGCACAACGTGCATGATTGACGTGTATTTGGAGATTACGTTTGAAGATAAGTCTGATTATGAATAGAATATGTAATTTCGGAAATGGCAGTGTCTGCGATAAATAACGTGATATTTGAAGATTTTCCAGTTTGTAATACCATTTTTATCTTGAGCATTTTTTTATGTTAATTTCACTCTTTTTTCTGTGTAAGATCTTTCATGTTAATTTTGTATTGCTAGGTGTTTGTAATTTTGTATATTTGGAATGGTAGAATAAGTTCGTCTGAATTTATAAAATAGCAGCTTAACTGGAAATAAACAAGTGTTGCGCAGTTGTAGTGATTGCCGCGGGCAATTTGTTCTAATGCAGGTCAATGTTAGGTTAGACTTCGAGCTATTAAAGCAATGGTCGAGAATTCTTTTCGAAGTGCAACGATGCGAAATTTTAATCGTGTGAACAATTTAGTGACGCCCAAAAACAGGTGTAATTGAGTGAAGGTTTAATTAGAGTGCAATTCGATAATTTTGTTACGTTCCGATGTTTGGTGTGAAATTTCTTTCGCTTTGTACTCGTTTAACACGTTGTTAGCATCAAATAAAAATGTTTGCAATGAATTGTTGCATGTTTTATTTTGTCCCTCGAAAAACTTGAAAAATTACTTCCTTGTAATTGTATCAAAATAGTTTAAAATTCGATGAAAATAGTTTCTTTGCAAAGAAACAGTTTGTTCGATGGAAACAAGTTTTTAGCAGGATTATGTAATACAAAATAACTGTTTACAAAGATGTTAGGTACAGCAGACAGTAATTTATGTAATAAAACAAGGTGAATCAATTCTGACTTCATCCTGAAGTGTTTATACATAATTAGTACGTCGTCAAGATTCAAGAAAGCCGGTTTGCCAGTAGTTGCGTGGAGTATCAATTACATTATCTCTACTCTGAGGCGCAAAATATAGTTGAAGCGCACAAATAATATCTGACATCTTATCTTTCCGCATTGTTTGCACTCGAGTTCGTGATAATAAAGTCTGTCGGTAATTTGTGTTTGCAAACTATTCAACTTGTCGACTGAAAATTAATGAATTCGTAGCACGAAAATACAAATTTCTTTCGTCTTCCTTATGATCCCTAAGAATCGAAATGAAACGAGTATTGTACTTTTTATGCATCTGACTGTCGTCGCGATAATTACATATTTGCAAATGGTAGCTGAAGCGATGAAGAGAAGGCAGACGAGAGGTTAACCTTGCTCGTGCAATCGGGTCATTATGCCATCACGTTCATTTCCCAGAAATTACGCAAGTCCGCGATTTTGATGTAGCAATACGAGTTTTATATTTTTAGACCATGTGATCGATATTACCCCGTAATTTTCATCGAATTTTAAAATTAATTTCCATTATACCACAGGATATTTATACAAAAGAAAATGCTGAAACCTTCATGGAAGATTGGGAATAATATTAAATTTCCAGGCAATTGTTAGGTGATTCCGGTCAAAAACAATTTTTCTGTCAAACTTAATTTTCAGAACCTTAAATTATCGCACGGATTTTTACACAGACAACTGGAAACTTGTTTTGAAATTAAATTAAAAATAGAATTCGACATAGTCGTTAAATAATTCGCAGTAGTGTATCTGGTAGATAGAGATAAAAACAGAAATCACGGATTTGGGAGGCGTAGAGACCTTCTCCTGACCCACGTGACTTCCCTCTCCGTATTTAACTACTTCATATTTAACTGAGTCACAAAGTATTTTTCAGACAATCTTTTATAAAAATCGTACCTGGAATTCCACTTAGTATTCGTAAACAACCTGTAAAGTGCAGAATATACAAAACACTTTTCGATAAACATGATATAAAACTTGAAACTGTAATTTCGAAATTAAATATAAAATGTCATACTTCGAGTTTGGTATAATTGTCAAGTTACAAACTGAATAATTTGATCAATATTTTAATTGAATAATGGTAGGAAGTTCCCCGTGTGACTAACGAATAACATAATCAATTGTGAGTATTCTAAATAAAATACTGATATCGTCTCTTATTCCTCCTCTTTTCACTCTTCAATTATGCGCAATGGCAGATAGTGTCATCCTAATCTAATAATTATAACATATGCCAGAACTATGACGTCTGTATACGAGTATTAATTTAATTTCGTTATTTTGTAAATATAAAAACACAAGCATGATAATCTGTGTATTCTTTTCGCAATGAAAGTGACGTCAAAGCGCCACGCGCGTACAATTTTTGACAAGCGATAAATTTAATAATTGATGAAGACTTGCTTAATGCTTTCAGAGATATTTTTTATTAAACACAAATCACATTTTAAAATTCAAAACTACTGACATTTCTCAGATTTCAGATTCATCTTTATTTTACAGATCCACTTTTTTTTATATTGATTACGTTTTCAAATTAACATAAGATCCAAAACATAAAACAAATATCTGAACACTGACGTCATCACGGAACTATCAAACAAGAATCATCGCTATAAATGTATCATTCAGACAAAATTATCAATTAGATCATCGATCAATCATTCGAAGCTGCGATCAAAGATAATTTATCATTTACAGAGTGAGTAAAATGAATTCTAATCCTATCGAAAGATACGCGATATCTGGTTATCTCATCTGTTAAATAAGTCCCACTTGAAGACAGCTCTTTCATACGTATTTCACCCAGCGCGAAATACGCAGTACATTTTGAGCCTCTGGCCACAAATCCTCTACATTTGATAATTACACGTCTGATAAGAGCTTCAGGTAAAATATTCAGCAGCTATGAGCTGTTATTTATAGCTAAAGATAACCTTTATTAAAAGAATATAGATATATAGAATATAGAATAACATACAGAATAACATAATATCTATTATGTATTATGTTATACATACATAACATAACATACGTGACATGTATAACATAATACATTCATGTCATACATACATAACATATATAATATAATACATTCATGTCATACATACATAACATGTGTAACATAATACATTCATGTCATACATACATAACATGTGTAACATAATACATTCATGTCATACATACATAACATGTGTAACATAATACATTCATGTCATACATACATAACATGTGTAACATAATACATTCATGTCATACATACATAACATGTGTAACATTCATGTCATACATACATAACATAACATACGTGACATGTATAACATAATACATTCATGTCATACATACATAACATGTGTAACATAATACATTCATGTCATACATACATAACATGTGTAACATAATACATTCATGTCATACATACATAACATGTGTAACATAATACATTCATGTCATACATACATAACATGTGTAACATAATACATTCATGTCATACATACATAACATGTGTAACATAATACATACACGTTACACATACATAACATGTGTAATATAATACATACACGTTACACATACATAACATGTGTCACATAATACATACATGTTATACATACATAGCATGTGTAACATACTACATAATAGGTATTATTACCTATAATACCTATATTAGCATAGCTATATGTACTATTATAATAGTATACATAAAATTAAAAAGTAGGTATATATACTAATTAACACCTACAACATATTCTCACCATAAAATCTCAATTGCAGCAACCTAAGCATGATCTGGGCACTGCTCATATCCCTGCTGGCCCTAGTCCTAGCCTACTACTACCTCACCGACTACGACCACTTCAAGAAGCGAGGAATCCCATACTTCAAATCGCTGCCCCTCCTCGGCAGCCTCTGGAAATTCGTGCTAACCCGCAAAACCTTCGGAGACATGCTCCAGGAGCTCTACACCCTGCAGCCCTCCGCCAAGTACATCGGTTTCTTCGACTTCCTCACACCCGTCGTATTAATCCGCGACCCGGAGCTCATCAAGTCCATAACCGTGAAGAACTTCGAGCACTTCGCGGAACACCGCAAGTTCCAGGACGGCGACAAAAACTTCTTGTTCAGCAAGAACCTGTTCGTCCTCAGTGGAGAAAGATGGCGCGAGGTCCGCGCCATGTTGAGTCCCGCTTTTACTTCCAGTAAGATGAAGTCCATGTTCGTGTTGATGAAAGAGTGCTCCAGACGATACGATCAGCATTTACTATCCTTGGCAAGTCATGGGAAAGCCATAGATCTCAAGGACGTGTTCACAAGATATACAAACGACGTGATCGCCACGTGCGCGTTCGGTTTTAATGTGGACTCCATGGCGGACCGCGAGAACACTTTCTACATGTACGGTCGTGACGCCACGAATCCCACGACGAAGCAGTTCCTGTCGTTCTTCCTGATTCGTAGCTTTCCCAAACTGTGTGAGCTGCTGAACATAAGGATAATGAGAAAGGAGATCGGTGAGTTCTTTCGAGACCTGGTGGACAGCACCATTAGGACCAGGGACGAGAAGGGCATCGTGCGACCCGACATGATTCAGCTGATGATGGAGACCAGAGGGAAGTTAGGCCCCGGCAAGGAGTTAACCATCGAGGATATGGTAGCTCAAGCGTTCCTCTTCTTCTTAGCCGGCTTCGACAACACCGCCACCATGATAAGCTTCACAGCCTACGAGATCGCCGCGAACCCGGACATCCAGAAGACTCTTCAAGACGAAATCGACCAAGTTCTCAAAGACTGCAACGGAGACGTCACGTACGAGGCCCTCAACAACATGAAGTACCTCGACGCAATCCTCAACGAGAGTCTCCGCATGCATCCCATCGTCGCCATCTTCGATCGAGTCTGCACCAAACGCTTCGAACTACCTCCAACCCTATCAAACACCGAACCACATGTGATACAAGAAGGAGAACTCATTTGGATACCCACGTATGCGATACACTACGATCCTGAACTCTATCCAGAGCCTCAAAAGTTCAGACCAGAGAGGTTTCTCGATGCGAAACACCTTTTGAATTCTGGCGCATATCTGACCTTTGGTTTGGGGCCCAGAATGTGTATCGGTAACAGGTTCGCTATTATGGAGGCCAAGATTCTGCTGTTCCATGTATTCGCTCGTTGTAACCTGAAGCCTAGGACTGTGCCGATGAAACTGGTCAAACGGGGCTTCAACATGGCTCCGGAAGATGGGTTCTGGTTCGAAATTCAATCTAGGAAGGGGATGTAACTTGTGGACGTGATTTGTGATGACTTTTGAGTTGCTAGATGTGATTTGGTTCAGTGATTTTTTATTTGGAGGTTCATTGTGATTTTTAATTTGGAGGTTCAGTGATTTTTTGTTTGGAGGTTCAGTGATTTTTGATTTGGAGGTTCAGTGATTTTTTGTTTGGAGGTACATTGTGATTTTTTATTTGAAGGTACATTTATCATTTGGTTTATTCAATGTTGAATTATTCATCATTTATTACTTGGAGACAGACATAGTCAAGGGACAATTGCAAGTAACGTACTCTGTTTATTTTAGCTAAAATATTCAGTTGGGTTGCAAGCTTGATATGAACCTAGCTCATCTTTGCTACCTAGTTCAACCTCGAACCTATCTCTTGATCTCTTAACAAAAATTTTGCAATAATATTTTGAAACGAAATTTCTTGATCATGAAAATTTTTTGTACATTGTGGTTTTTGATTTGAAGGTGCATTGATTTATCACTTGGTTTATTCAATGTTGAATTATTTATCATTTATTACTTAGAGTTAGACATAGTCAAGGGATATTTGCAAGTAACATTGTACTCTGTTTATTTTAGCTAAAATATTCAGTTAGGTTGCAAGCTTGATATGAACCTAGCTCAACTTTGCTACCTAGTGCAACCTCGAACCTATCTCTTGATCTCTTAACAAAAATTTAGCAATATTTAGAAACAAAATTCTTGAATCGTGAAAATTTTTGGATTTCAAAAAAGGGAGATAGAGACCTGGGATACAGTAATGAACGCGTGTTATATGTCCGTCTCAATTATCATCCGGTGAATGGCGTCATCCTCCTCTGCATGGCCAGCACGTAACGCGGTCTCGTGCTATGTACAACAGCCGTATAATATATTCCACTACGTGATCGTCCACTGCCAACGATGCGATACGACCTTCTGAATATTGCTTTAATGAGCGACTCCCACTGATTCGAAATCTCTACCTCCCAGCGTTTTGTCTGCGGTTGCTTTTGGTGCAACAACAAAGTCACGCGATTAGTCAACCATCGGTTCATTAAACTCGGCTTCCTTGGAATATGGTTCAAGGCGAGTTGATAAATGATAGACCCTATGTTTTTAAGCGTGGTAATTTAAATTGTGGAATCTGGTGATATAATCGTTTGAGATTGTTATGCTTTACCGAGAATCGCGGTTTTATCTATTTGATGTTTGATGTGTTAATGCTGAGTCATTGTTTACGTTTGAACGATTTCTTGTATAATTTGCCTGGCAATAATTTGTTTTGAAAGTATTTTGTCGAAGCTCATATCGATTGTTGGTAAACTAAAGGATACTTGGCAAACTAAAATAGATTGCATACGATGATTTTAAGTTAAAAATGAAAATATTGAAATGAAAAACAGGTACTTTTGTATCAGATGCATATTTGTAACTCTATGAGTAAATATTAAAATGTAAATTAAATGAATAAAAATTTATGAGGTCTCTTTATTAAAAGAATGTCTTCAAAATAAATTTTGGGATTGTATGTCTTCAAATTACAATTTGAAATGATTTGATGGAGAGTGTCTTCAAAATAAATTTTGGGATTGAATGTCTTCAAATTACAATTTGAAATGATTTGGAGAGTTTAAGATGTATATTAAAAAAGAAAAGTGATGGAAGAAAGAATAAAATTCCTTTTAACCCTCTCTTCACGCCTCTTTCCATTAACACGACTAGACAATACACTGTTCAGATCCACCCTTACGATCTTCGGTTCATTAATTCTGACCAAAACCTCCCGATGCTGTTCCTTCGATCGCTAACCTCCGCTTCGACCATTCTGCACCCCACCATTCACGAGTGAATTACATTAAAAGGGGTAGTTTTATCGAGTCAACCTGCCAGATATTTCTTTGGGCGTTGATAGATCGTAAGAGTTCTAACGCTTTCGGTTAGTCAAGAATGAAAGTGTACATTTTTGGTGCAAGCTGTTATGGATCGAATAATTGACTGTAAAATAAAATTTTTTAATAAACGTAGCTAACTGAAATATTAGATTTGTTAAAGTTAGTTAGATATTACAAAAGTTGGGTTCTTAAATTTTTGACAAAAATAGCAAACTGAAATTAAGTTAACTTTAAATTAACTGTAAATTAAGTTTACATATTGTACATGTAATTTTACATATGAAGTACATGGCATATAATTTTACATATGAAATACATGGCATATAATTTTACATATAAAGTATATGGCACATAAAGTTTACATATGGAATACAAAGTAACCCGTATATAAATCAAAATGAAAATACGAAATAAAATTTTTATACAGTCTTCTCTTGACTCTAAAAGGAGAGAATCACGACACATTAAAACACGAACCGTGATTCTATAATTCACGTATCTGATTCGGCACGTGCTGTGACTCTGCATATTTAACACTGATGTGAGAAGAATGATACGGTACAATGTTTATGTTGATAAACGACACGTGTGCCACTGATATTTCTTCCAGTTCAACTTGTTGACATTTGTCCCCGATAAACTATAACACGCAATTCCTGCACTAAAAAAGCTATAAGTTCAAAGTCATTGCAAATTATATACTAGTGAATTAAAAGCGGTTAGTATACAAAATTTTGAAGTGATATTTTAATCTTGCGTACAGAATTTTCAAACTGATAAATAATAATAGTTTTGTATTGATAAATAATAATTTTTGAAATAACATTTTTTTATTAATAAATAATAATAATTTTTTGACAAAATTTTGTGAGATCTATACTTGTAAGAATATCTATAATAAGTATACTCGATTGTATATATCAGTTATGTTAAGTTAGACACATTTCACTTATATCAAGTCAAGCACATTTCACCTATATAAAGTCAGACGCGTTTCATTTATATCAGGCCATTTATATTATATCAGTTATATAAAGTCAAATACGTTTCTTTTATAACAAGTCAGGCATATTTCACTTATATCAAGTCAAGCACATTTCATTTATATAACGTTAGACGCATTTCATTTATATCGGGCCATTTATATTATATCATACTTCAGTTATATAAAGTCAAATACGTTTCCTTTATAACAAGTCAGGCACATTTCACTTATATCAAGTCAGGCATATTTCTCCTCTATCAAGTTACACTGTTCAAAATACTACGACTGAAGTAAACTGCAGATTCTGAGAATCTACAAGGAAAAACTATGACAACGTAATGTATGCTAACCTCATATGAAGGCCGAGACTGTTTACACATATAATTGCCACCTATTGAGATTAACATACACTCACGCGTTGTGCGTTTAAATACTTCCATTCATAATGTTTTGAATTCCTTCCTAATGCGATTTACGCAATTCTAAGACACGTGTTGCACTATTGACATCTAATTAATATTGATATGAAGGTTTCTTTGAATCTATGAATTAAAGATAGAGGAATACATTGTGTGATAGTTTAGAAAATATACACGCATTTTACATATTTATTTCATTTTTAATTCGATGGTGGAAAACCTAGATGGAATACTAAATGAAAACCTGGTACTAGTGGAAAACTTAGTATTCCTCTAATAATTTCTTGAATAATAGAGTGGTGTTAATAGAGTCACATATAAGAAAATTGTCAGCCTATGTTGACTTAAGAACTGTTTACGGAAGAGTTATGTTGACTCGGTTAAGACTAGTCTGGTTTGACAGACTGCTGACGTAGGAACTCGTCAAGCTCGCACGAGCGACTAACGTGACTCAAAGTTCCGCTGCCTTTATTGCACGCCTCGTTCCACGTGTTTGTGCTCGACTGGCTCTAAATTTTGGTAACATACACCTTAGAACGTCAACAGAGTTCTAAGATTGCTATTATATCGCCGGGGTTTCTAGGTGTAATAACATTTCACTTGGGGTCTTCAGAGTTAATAGTTAAAATTCTTTGTTGTGAAAGTGCGAATGAATAAAACAAATTATATGTAGTCACATAAGGGCAAAACAATATGAGATACATTTATTTTTGAGAAATAGACCTTCATAGGTAATGAAAAGAGGTAAAAAAAATAGGTAATTCAGACAAGAATTTTGAATGGTGTAGAATTAATAATTTTCTATATTTGTGATAGTATAATTTCACCCACGATTTCGTAAAAGTACTCATTGTGCGAGAATGATATCGATTGAACAATAAAATTCTCTTATCGTGATAATATGTGTACTTTATGTATCATTTGAGATCGACGTTTTGATATTATGTGGCATAAACACTCATAGTAGGTATAGATATCTTTTATATGACTGATAAAATTATAATCACTTTACAATGTAAAATTATGGTTGAATTATTTGATTTGTTTCAAGGTTGCATATTGGGAAATTTTTGACTGTGTCTGAGAAATGAATTTCACTTCAATCGACCAGACTTGTTACTTGGCACTTGGAATTTGATACCTGAAACTTGATACTTAGAACTTGAAACTTAATATCTGAAACTTGATACTTGATATCTGGTACTTGTAACTTGAAACCTGATATTTGAAACCCGACACTCGATGCCTGAAATCTGATACTCAGAACCTGAAACTTGATATGTGAAACCTGACACTCGATGCCTGAAACCTGATACTCAGAACCTGAAACTTGATATTTGAAACCCGACACTCGATACCTGAAACCTGATACTCAGAACCTGAAACTTGATATGTGAAACCTGACACTTGAAACCTGAAACCTGATACTTGGATCTCGGAACCTGATATCTGAAACTTGATATCTGATACCTGAAACGTGATACTTGTAACTTGATACGTACTTCTAACGACTAGACTTGTAACTCGATACTTGAAACTTGATATTTGAAACCTGATACTTGATACCTGAAACCTGATACTTGAAACTTGATACGTACATTTATTTTGCTACGTACTTGATGACTCGAGAGTGACTCTTCGAAGAATTTTTACGTTTCACAAAAGCTCGGAGTGGGCTAACAATTTTTGTGACATTGCCGAGGGAAAACAGTTTCTGATTTTCTATCGGTTTAGCTAAAATTCGGCTGGAGATGGAAATGCGAGTGACGTATGAAGTGCGTCTTTTCCCGCAGTGAGCAAGTAATAAAGACAGTACCTCGACACGAATAGAAAACTGCACTCTACTACTAAGGTCAAGGGTTCAGATGTGACTAAATGAATGAAAAATCAAGAAACTTGTAAGGTCACTGTAATATGCATTGCGATCAAACTTCTTTTTTCCCTGGCCGCTCACCGAAATTAGGGAGTCAATTGCCGTCATAGTTCCGCGGGTTATTTGGATGTCTCTCTTAAGCGGTGCAGAAACGTCGCCTCGGATCCAGGATATTGCGAACGATGGAATCAACGTACGGAAACAAAGCCGGGCACTTAGCGGCAAATTAGCGATGGCTTGGGGCGCCACTGTCGCTCTTCATTACACCGACACCCTTGCACACCAAACCGACCACCCACCAACCTAACGGTATATCCCCTACTTCCAGTTAACCCTCTTAACATCCTGCAGACAATGCATTCCGCCTATCTTCCTCACTACATCTCGACGAATTAAATCACTGACTAGAACTACTCTTCGATCTATCGCTAATTATCTCGTTATATTATTCCTATCTTTTCGACGGTATGTTTATTTATTTTTGTGGGAGTTTCACTTGAAGGAGGAATAGGTTGGAGGAATAATAGGTGTGTGTGTAGTAATGATTGTGGTCAGTTTTTGGTGCGATTGGTTGAGGAGGGTGGGTTTTGGAAGAGGAAGGTATGGGGATGAAAATTCTCAGTTTTCCAAATTCTCAAGTTTCAGATTCTCAGTGGCCCAAATTTTTAGGGTATCAAATTTTGAAATTTGAGATTCTCAGTGACTTAAATTCTCAAGTCCCAAATTCTCAGTATCCCAAATTCTCAAGTTCCCAAATTCTCAAGTTCCCAAATTCTCAGTGTTCCAAATTCTCAGTCTCCCAAATTCTCAAGTTCCCAAATTCTCAAGTTCCCAAATTCTCAATGTTCCAAATTCTCAGTCTCCCAAATTCTCAAGTTCCCAAATTCTCAGTGTCCCAAATTCTCAGTGTCCCAAATTCTCAAGTTCCCAAATTCTCAGTGTCTCAAATTCTCAAGTTTCCAAATTCTCAAGTTCCCAAATTTTCAGTGTCCCAAATTCTCAAGTTTCCAAATTCTCAAGTTCCCAAATTCTCAAGTTCCCAAATTTTCAAGTTCCCAAATTTTCAAGTCCCAAATTCTCAGTGTCCTAAATTCTCAGTGTCCCAAATTCTTAAGTTCCCAAATTCTCAGTGTCCCAAATTCTCAAATCACCGCCTTCTCAAATTCCCAAATCTTCAAATCACCGCCTTCTCAAATTCCCAAATTCTCAACCCCCCACACCCAAAAATCCAAACTTCTCCACGTCCTCAAATCCTCAAATTTCACCTCCCTAAATCCCCAACCCCCAAAATATCACCTCCCCAAGTCCT